ACATCATTCATTATCAGAGTCTTGATCTGTGAGCTAATATCACATTAATTCAGCATATTTCTAAGCATATCCACTGAAAACAAGCCTGAAATAAATGCTTGCTCAAGAAGCTTTGAATCCAGTTTGTGAGAAAAAGAATTAACCAAATCACAGGAATATCATGTCCTGTCTTCATTCTTAAAATCTAGAAGTTCTCTGAAAGCATAAATTCTTTTACAAAGATTGTGATTGACTTGTTTGGCAACAAAATCTGCTTGGCAATAAAATTTGCCCTATTTTGGGGGGATATTCATATATTTCACTGTTCATGTATATGTCTGCGGACAGTATGTTGTCTCTCACACTTCCTGAGGACAGATACAATCCTTGGATATATAGATTCTGATGTGTAAAAATGCTTCCAGCCTCAAGGGTTTGGATGAGGAACTATGATCTGTATTACGGTGAAGCAGAACTTTATTAAAGTGATGAACAGGCATTCTCGCAGATGTTTTACACAGAGCATGAGAACTCTTCCATGGCACCTGCAGTCAGAGAAAGCATGGCATCTCTGTCAAAGACTGGAAGCTGATAGTGGAAAGGAGGCAACATTTACGCAGTGGTTTTCAATGGTTTGGTTTTGCACTCTTAAAAATGAACAACCCACTGGGCACTGGTAGCTTTTGCTATAATCCTAGCTACTCAAGAGGCAGAGATCTGAAGATCATGGTTTGAAGCTCGTCCAGGCAGGAAAGTTCCTGAGACTCTTATCTCTAATAAACTATATTAAGTGAAGTAAGCCACACTCAAAAAATAGGGTGCATGGTTTCCCCCATTTGTGGTCATTAGAATGTGCCTATAAATCTACAGATAAAAGATAAAAAAATTACACTTGGACAAAAGTGATTCATTTTATATATATATATATATGTATACACACATATAATAAGAAAAGCCACCAAAAAAATCTATCACTCAGATATCTACTAGTAAAATTATGATGTGATTACAGTCATTTTTCTCTTGAAATGGACTCTTATTTGAAAAACAGTGAGTCATATTTACATGTTTTGTAACCCGTATCTTCATGAAAACATGTCTTATGAATCTTTTCACTACACTTAAATATTTTTCTCTGACATTTTCAGTATATCAGTTTCCAGTTTATTACCCATGGTGAAAGATACATAAAGGTGTTAGAGAATAATGGTGTCACAGGTGCCTGGCACAGAACAGAAGTTCTGTAAAGGGCATTACTGAATAGATGCCAGGTTGAGCATCCTTTTGACTAGTTGAAGTACACTCCAACTCTTTAATCATCACCTCAGGGTAAATTCTGAAAGTGGGTCAAAGGCTAGGCAGGTCTTCCCAAAAAGTAAATAGTGACAGGGAATCACCCTTCCAAAATGTTTATCAAGTTATACTGCAGAGACTGGTGGTTTTTCAGTGGACTCTCATAGATTACTTTCTACCTCAAATGTTTTCTAAAGCTTGGCTTTAATACTCACAGACATTACTGTGAGTTCTGGTGGAATGAGTACTGGATTTGCTCTCCATTCTTGATCAATGACTTGAAAGAACTCAGCTCGTTATCAGCTGAAAGGTTTCACAGTTAGCATGCCTACCTTTTCCACAGTACTGTTGATATATCTGCAGACGTAGTCTAACCCTCTTGGTGACTGTACCTCCCTTAGAGTGTCTATGTTTGTCATGTGCCTATACATGTATACATAAAACACTCAAATATAATTGGAATGTACAAATCAAACAACTTTGTGGCAAAAATTCAGACAGATGGGAGGATAGAAGGAGCATCTCTAGGTCCGTTTGGGTCCTTGGTTGACTTATTTTTATAGATACAATGTAGGATACTGAAGGTTTGCTATCGTACTTAAAGACCTTAGGCTCTCAAGTAAGAAAATGACTGGAGTTGGCTCTACCAGTTGTTAGATAATATGATCTTGGGCTGGTTAATCTTTGTACTGGAAATAGCTTCCTCATAAAGATTTGGGTAGAAGAGGCCATGGTGGGATAGAAAAGGCCACGGTGGGAAAATGGCAGGCAGGAAAGCAGGAAGGCAGGAGAGAAGGTTAAAAAGCCACAGCCAGCTGTCCTGGAGTAATGGAAGGGAAAGTCCCAGCCATGGCCTGAGAAGTGATTAACTGAAAACGAAGCTATAGATCTCCCAAAAAGCTTACAAAAGAGTCTCTAAGTTTGGATTTACCATAGGTGAACAAGGAAGACACATCTATCACACTTGGATCAGATAAAATTAAAGAATTGTTCTGACTCTTGCTACCAAACCTTTTTCAATCGCAGCAGCTTTTAATAAAGAGAAAGATGATGAGCCAGAGGAAATATTCCAGAAGCAAAGATGAGGAAGAACACTGGCAGGGATAACCAACACCAATTGGACTAACCTCCTTCAGTAAAGGAGGGCCTGGGATTTCTGACGGCCAGAACCCATGGGAGTGAAGAAAACTGCCATCTTGGAAACATCCATGACCAAGACAATAAAATGATACATTTTGGAGCAGGACTGTGGATTGTAAAATAAAAGGAACTTCTCTTTTTTAAAGAATGTAATAAGATTATTGTATCTTCAGATCTACTTTTTTCTTTACATTTTTGAAGATTGTGTTGCATGAATAAACCAGAGTTATTTAGCTTTCATATTCAGATTTCAAGACATTTGCTAATTTTGTAGTTTCACAGGATGAGTTTTCAAAGTTTGAAATGAAAAAATTATTGTGAAATTTAAATAGAGCAATGGAACATGAGATGGATGAGATGTTTGGTAGACAGTCTAGCATATACTATGCTACATGCTGAATAAATATCGCCTGTTATTTCTTCATTAATTCCTTTTAGCTCCCCCCCACCCCTGCAACCCTATGGTGCTGAGGACCAAACTCAGGGCTTTATGTTTTTTAGGCAAGCACTCTTTCCCTCATCTAACTCTCCAACTCCCCCATCAATATTTTTGATGCATCCTAGAAAAAAAAGCCAAGGGTATGAGTACTAATAATAACAATAACAACTATTATTATTATTAGCTACTTTGATGTACATTAGTAGTAAAGGAAAAACACTCCACTCTCTATACAAAAAAATGAACGAATCAAAACTGAATTATATCTTATCTACGATTTAAATTATTTTCAAGTAACTTTGGTGCATATGTTTTGTTAAAATGTGTTTTATATGCACTACCATTTTAAAATTCAGTTGTGGCCGGGCACTGGTGGCTCACGCCTGTAATCCTAGCTACTCAGGAGGCTGAGATTTGAGGATCGCAGTTCAAAGCCAGCCCGGGCAGGAGAGACCGTGAGACTCCTATCTCCAATAAACCACCAGAAAACTGGAAGTGGCGCTGTAGCTCAAGCGGTAGAGCACTCGCCTTGAGCTGAAGAGCTGAGGGACAGCGCCCAGGCCCAGAGTTCAAGCCCCACGGACGACCAAAAAAAAAAAATTCAGTTGTGATTTGGAGCTATGTTTGAAATTAGTATCAAAATGTCCTCCCCTTTTAACAGGTAGGTGGATTAAAACTGTAAGACTAAAACATTTAAGGAGTTGGAGGCATGGCTCAGTTGGTAAGTGAGCTAGCCAATGAGCAAATGCATTAGGTACTAAGTTCAAGTCCTGATCTCAGACAAAAAAGAAAACATTTAAAATAGCAATTATAATAGTTATAGTTATTTTTTAAAAAGTCATCACAAAACAACTTTAGAACTATGTTGTTAGGGGCAACTTAATTCATGTTTTTTCCTTTTGCTTATACAGGAAGATTCCATTGTTTATTTAAAATTTCAAAATGACTCACACATGGTATTTAGACATGAGTGGAAAAGAAATTCACTTAAAATGAAACTTTTATATAGCCAGAACAATTCAAACAAAGTCTACAACTTGTTGATGTCTGTGTGAGAGAAAAGGGGGTATTTGTAAGTGAAAAAAACCTTTGAAAGGTGTTTTAAAATCACCAGAATCTGAAAAATAAACTTTTTGTCTCCAAACATATGTAGGGAAAAAAGCCCACAGGTATAAATAAACAGAAGAAATGTCATTAGCAAAATCTTACATCCTCACCTGTAAAATGAGGAGGCTGATATACTGGCCTCAAAAGTTTCCATCTCTGAAGGCTTTTTATGCTATTCAATACCATCCAGGCTTAAAGGATATATAGAAATATATACCTCCATATATAGAACTTATTTTTCTTTGCTCTGTATGACTACATGCTTTAAGTATTGTTACAACAAAGTCACTGAAAAATCATCTTTTGATGGGAATTCTTTTAAAAATTTTTGTTCTCTTTTAAGCCTTATTTTTTAAAGGTTTCCAGATGCTTATCCTCACAGATTAAACACAGCATGATGCAGACACTTACAATAATATCCACTGCTATGAAGCCAAGAAAAAAAAAAACTACTTTGAGATCTAACTGCCTATCACCTAAAGAATCACATCCGGGATTTTTCTGTTGCTATTAAGGTGTGATTCTCAGAAGTCATTTAGACACTACCTTGGTTCTCAGTAGCAACAATCGACCCTGCACTGTGTCAAAGCACATCAAATGCTGGCAATCCAGGCCTGGAACAAACAGGTTATTTCTCATTATGCGAATACATCATAAAAGGATGAACAGACTATAAATTGGAGGCTGAGTTCTGAATGTGCTAGGCAGCAGTATTGGACTGAAACAGTCATTCTAATTTCAAGAGACAATTCCAAAGTGGTTTTCAAGAAAAAGGACAAGGTATTTTTTAAAAAAAATATTTGTCCAATGTGAATGGACTGAGCTTGCCAAAAATGACTTTTTATGCTGGCATGTAATCTGTTAGAGGGAAGTCAGCCTGAGTCACTGGATACATCAAAGGTAGAATCCAGTGAATGGAATTACTGCAGGCTGTGTGAGCAAGCCAGATACCTGCATTCATCTGCCCACTGCTGGGATTTCAGCCTCCTTTTAATTACATTAAAGCAGCTGGTACCACTGGTTACTGAAGTCTTCAGATTACCTTGATTGCTCGGTCATTATCTCTAATCAGCTGCTTCTTCTCATCTTCAAACTTTTGTACAAGATCCTGGAGCCGCCTTTCTGCAGCAAGCTGCTGCCGGCTGCTTTCCTCTTTCAGAGAGGAAATGGTTGTCTGAAGTTCTGCTATGATCTAAAATGAAAACAGCATGCTATAACTTCAAATTCTTCAGTGAGAGGCATCTATTTTATATGTATTTATGCTTAACAAAAGAATGGATTTGGCAAAACTCTATCCCACAAACTAAACATTTTCAATTAACATATCATGCATTATAATGCATGAAATTCCACACAATGAAAGACTAGAATAAAATTGTGAATGGTGAACAACTGCTAAACCAAGTGTATTTGGAAGACATTTCCACTATAACATTCTTCAATATTTACTCATCAGAATAACATCTGTGATTTCAAAAATATGAAAAGCATCAGATTTTTATTTTGCTGAGAAATATAGTTATTAGAATAAGAAAAGCTATGTTGCCTTTCATAAATTTTTGAACTTTAATACCCAAAATAACAGAGGTCATTTCCATGGTCACCTAATTCTATACAATAACTTGTGAGTATTCACTAAAGTCTGCATATTGTGTTAAAGACTCCAAGTTCTGTGTCACTATTGTTAGATAAGTGTTATCACCTTTCTTTCATAAATGAAGAAACAGAGGCACAGAGAAAGGTCAGATATTTGACATGGTTGAAGATGACTTCCAACTAAGGAGACAGGCAAAAGGTGAAGCCCACAGATGTATCATTGCACTAATCCATTCCTCTAACAAGTGGATTTGACTTTTCAACAGGGTTTTGGTTTAAGGGAAGTTTATATTTCCAAATAGGTTGCTTTCTTCTTAACTGCTACATATTCATGACAGTTTATTTTGGTTTGCATCTTGCCATTTCAGAGACTCCAGAACTGTCTACATTTGAGAATTGGTTCCTTCCTGGACAGGGTTCACTCCAACTTCCCCAATGAACATGTGGAAAGAGATCTCTGATATTTAATGGGTCTACAGAGAGCTTTCCTGTTCCTTTGCTTTGGATGTCTCCATTTCCTTTCAAATTCAATTGTGATGACTTTTTGAAAGCAGGAAATGGTTGTTTCTTCTAATAAAAGAAACAGTATTAGAATATAATTCTGTTGGTGCTAAGAGGGGAGCCAGGTTACTTTTTGTCACTATTAATTGTAAACAAAACCAGGTCACAGCATCATAAAATAATAGAAACTTCATAGAGTCCTCAGAAACCCAGTCTGATAGAAATACTAGTTGTTTCTATTGAAATAAATAATAGCATTATACAGAATGTTTTTTATAAGTGTTCAAACTCACTGTAACCAAGTTTAGAACTGATAATCAAATATTAGGGTGACTGTGAGAAGATAAAGTGTAATAGCATTATGTTAATATTATTAAATGCAAATGAGAATCTTCTGCCACATACAGTGTGGAAGAACATTTACTGAGATAGCTTTCATCTGCTGCTTACATTGTGATTAGATGCTGCTTCCACTGTGGCATCCACTCAATTACATTTTCCTAGCACTTCTGCGAAACAGGATAGGTTGTTACAATAAGTATCAAAAACTGAAGGACAGAATAATCAACTCCCAGTTATAGAGCCAGAAGATGAACTGGGGGTAAGAAAGAGCCCCATTTCTTTGGATTAAACTGAAATTTAAAATTGATACCATATAGGAACAGAGATTCAAACAGTAAAAATAGTTCCATTTTTCAAGTTGCATAAACTAAAACTTTATGGAAGTGATAGGTTCAATTGTTTTGTGTGTATGTTTAGTTCTGACCAATTTAATCACATGTACACTTTTAATGTACTTTTAAGGTACATTAAAGTAACTTTTAAAGTAACCCCTACTTTTCTTCAATATATAAAGATTGGGATTAGCAAAAGATAAAAATATTTGAGGGCATTTCAAGTGATCACAAAGGCTTAAAATCATTTTTAAAAGATTTAGGAAAACAGCACATCAAAAAGAAACAAATGTAGCTTTTGGAGGAACTGAAAGTGGAATCCAGGATGGTCTGAGAAGAGCATACTTGCTTTTGTGCAGAAAATGAATCCTTATTTCTTAAGGGGTAGAAGGGAGATTCTTATAGGAGAAATAATGAGATTATATTTGGAAAGCTATATTCATGACTTGTGCAGGTGACACCAGGGAAAGGATGTCAAAACACTGGAGGTGAAACACTGGCTAGACAAATTGATTGATAGACTGACAGTTATGATGATGTAGAGCAGCAACATGGGTTTTAAGAATAAGATTTAATGTTTACATATTTTAGGACTGAGCATTAAACAGAATAAACAGATTAATGTACATGTTTTAGGTAAGGGACAAGGCATGATCTTTAGGCCTATGAGCCATAGAATTAGATAAGAAAATGGACTATTTTCACCTCAGTTCAATGCATATGACTAACACTCTATACATAGTTAAGTAGTAGAACTATAATTGTGGCAAATAAAAAAAACCTGGCAAATAGTATTGAGATAATCTAGCTTTTTCACAGAATAATATCATTAAAATGTGCCTAAAGAGAATGAAAGCAAATACATTGTATGTATTGTGACTATATCATAATAAAACCCTTCCAATTCTGATTGAATCCTAATTTAGAACTATAAGAGACTGCCAATGTTCCTACTCTGAATTGTTTATCCATGTGCTAGCTTCAGAAAAAGAATTAGAACATTTCATATAGTTATTAAAAATTAGTATCTTGGAAAACAAGAACTATTTTGGGCTGATAATGGCAGCAACCTAACCCATGGAAGAACACATGCATAAATGTTAGGGGTCTTATTTAAGATCCTAAAATAAAAGAATTCCAAACTGAGGATACATATAATCTTTAATTCATTCTGTTGTTTTTCAGATTGTGGTATAGTTTGAGATATTAGTTCCTAAAATTTTTCTGTGGAATGCAACAAACCAGACAAGCCATAGTTAGGAAGGGCAGGCAAGTATTGGAGTTCCTGACACACACAGAAAGCAGTGGCCCCTTGCTGCACCCTGTTTTCTGGCTGCTTCCCTGGGTAATGACAAGACCTTGAAGAGTAGAACACGTGTGGCACCTGTGTCTATGGGCACTAATCTGCATCCGATGGGAGAAAGGGAGCTGGTCCCTTGGCACTGAGTGGGCTTGATAGGCAGCTCACCTTCGGTCCTCTTCACATTTTCAGTGTGCATACTATTGCAAAATGGCACCATCTCTTTTTTACAAAATGACTATCAAATGACTGAGCTGAGTGAGGAATCTACATTAAAACTGAAAGGCAAGGTTAATATGTGATAGTGAAATAAAAGACACAAATATGTAATAAGATGGAGGTGTCATCTGGGATTGTGCCCAGAGACAGTGCCAGTGCTGAGAATGCCATGCAGATGATGAAAATCTCAGGAGGAGTCAGCTTCAAGTGTGCCCATGGTTTGTTGTACACACACTACTAAATCCTAAGGGCTTGATAAGATCTGAAAGATTATATAACTTCCTTTAAAGGAGGAAAGTATGTAAAATATGTTCCAAGTTTAACTGATGCTCTCTTAAATGCCAGTTCAGCCATCATCAATGAATGCACTCATTAATTTTTTGAGAGATTTTTCAAAGTCTGATAAACAGAATTAAGCAACTTTGCTTCTGGCACTTGCAACAGCATGATGAGATATGAGTTAGAGATTCCAGCAAACCAGAACTTGAAAGTGGAAAAAGTCAATCCATGCTTCTGGTTCTTAATGTTCATTTAAAAATAACCTGTTTCTCAGAATTGACTAGCATTGTAGACTAATGTTTCTTATGCCCGTTTATAGATATCAATATTAACAGCCATATTTACATGTATTCAGAGGTGGGAAAACAAAACAGGAGGTTATCCTTCTAAGAAAAAGTTGGGTCATCTTTTCTTATGCTACTAAAATCCTTCCTGAGGTTATTTTTCCTTTTCTTTCCCTTCCCTTCCCTTTGTTCGTTTGTCCATTCATTCCTTCCTTCTTTTTTTTTTTTTTTTGCTGGTCCTGGGGCTTGAACTCAGGGAGGGCCTGGGTGGCTAGCACTATACCACTTGAGCCATAGCACCACTTCTGGCTTTTTCTGAGTAGTTTATTGGAGATAAGTGTCTCATGGGTTTTCCTGCCATTGGCTAGCTTCCAATATGATCCTCAGACCTCAGCCTCCTGAGTAGCTAGGAGTACAGGTGTGAGCCACTGGCTTCTGGCTCTTTTTTCTTATTAGGTATCACATTAACCTTTCGTTTATAAAATAGTGGCTACAGTACATGAGAAATGTTACTGGCTGGCTTTTCAATCTCCTTCTCCTTCATGTCTTTACTTAGGAAAATAGCACCCAAATCTCATCAATTCTCCAATACTTTGTTGTTGTTGTTTTTTGTCAATCATGGGGCTTGAACTCTGGGCCTGGGCGCTGTCCCTGTGCTCTTCAGCTCAAGGCGAATGCTCTACCTCTTGAGCCACAGTGCCACTTCCGGTTTTCTAGTGATTTATTGGAGATAAGAGTCTCATAGATGTTCCTGCCCGGGCTGGCTTTGAACCGTGATCCTCAGATCTCAGCCTCCTGAGTAGCTAGGATTACTGGCACGAGTTCAATACTATCTGAAGAAATAATTCCTCCTTCCTTCCAGACCTTTTAAACTTTCTTCCCTGCTTCCTCTTTTCTCTATTGCAATTTTCATGCTACTACAAAATTGCTAACAGTTATGAAGCTCTTTAGTATGTATGAGGCATAGTGCATTTTGTCATTGTTCTACTTCATACTTAAAACAATCTCATGAGGTAAGTAATGCTTTCAACCTTTGACAAATAAGGAAACTGAATTCCAAAGAGGGCAGGTAAGCTTACTCAAGGACACACAGTGGTAGGACTGGCATCAAATCTCGGGTTGTAGAAAGCTCAGGCTTTCTTCCATATTAACTTACATTTAATTTGCTTTAATGTCATATAATCAGGCTACTTCATACATTCCTTTAGATAAACTTAAGTATTCCTGTTTACACTCTCATTACTTAAGCATTTTTATTAGTTATCTTATATCTCACTTTCAGTCTGCCTCTTCTGTTTAACATAAAGCAAAATAAGCAGAATGTAGGTGTATACCAGCCAGGAATTTTGGAATAGTAAGATTTCTTTAAGGCTGGGGCATAGCTCAAGTGATAGAGCACTTACTTACTTAGTAAGTGCAAGACCCTGAGTTCAAACTCCAGTACTACCTTCTCTCACCCACCAACAAATCCAGTTGATGGGAAGAATCTTTTTCAGTGAACTAAAAAGGACATTTCTTCATACTTTTTCCTCTAGATCATGACAACCAGGACATTATATTATCATCCTCTCTTGAATAAACATGTATAACTCTTTGTTTAAGCAAAGAGTTATGAGATGAGAGTAGTAGCAATGGGATGAGAGTAGTAGAACATAAACATTTTAGGAATAATTATAGATTTGAGGACATTTACAGATAACTGCCAATGAAGTTTTACCATATTAAAAATGTAAGGGGCTGGGCCTCAGGATCACCACATTGGAGTCAGACCCAGGCTGAGTCCTGGCTGAGTCACTCATTCATGTGATTTTGTCTCTCTGAGTCTCAGTTTTCTTAACTGGAAAAATGGGGCCAGTAAGAGTTTGCAACCTGTGTACTGTGAGTAAAGACTAACTATCAGCAGTTAAGAGTTCATAGCATTAACTATTACCATTTTGTTGTCGTATTGTTGTTAGTCCTACTATGTGATACTTAATTTTGCTTCTGCATACATGGAAAGACACCAAGACAAGCTGATTTAAAAAGGACTATATATGAAGCCTACAAACCAAATTGTTTAATTTCTCCATCTGCAAAGAAGATAAATAGGATTTACTTGTTCTAAAATCAATCATATCTCTAAAGAATGCTTGGGATTCCCTAAATGATAGTAGTGAATAACATTATAACTACTTATATAGTTATATTTCAAGTATTCAGTTGTTGGATCTTAGAGTAAAACTATAACACACAGCAAGAATAGATAAACTCACAATTCTTTTATTTTTCCCCAAAAGACTCAGAGTTGAACTGCTGATTTAACCTAGAGCTGTCATTTTGAATTATGCTGTCAAGTAGCCCTTAGGTGCAGTGAAATGGAATATTGCAGAAAAGCACAGATGGTATCAACACGCTTACATCACAATGTAGGTGTGTATCTCCTGTACTTCTGAAATGATTTCAGCCTGGGCTTGCTCAAGTGTACAGGCTGGTTTTACAACATTGGAGCATGAGAGAGAGATGTGGGGGGAGAAGCAGAAAGACAGAGACAGAGAGACAAAGGCAAAAAAAAAAACAGACAAAGACAGAGGCAGAGAGAGAGACAGACAGAGACAGAGACAGAGATAGAGACAGAGACAGAGGGTGTGTATTAGTTGAAATGGTTCAATATGCCATTTACTGAGAAGTAAATTTACTGAGAAGTAATTCAACTCTGAAGCATAAAGGCTTTGATGTGTTAGTTTTGTTTCTGCTTCTTGTATTAGTTTTACTTTGTTTTGTTTCTTTTCTTGATGCTTACCTGGGAAGATTTGGCAAGCTTCTGAGTATATTCCTTCTCAATCTGCTTCAGCCTGCTGTTGGCCTGAAAAACACACGCACATGAACACACACACACACACAGTGACCTGTGAGCTTGGTATATCTTCCACATGCCTATCACCAGGCAGCTGGGACACCCGCCAGCTGCACCGCCCTTCTGGGGCAGCCAGAAAACCACAGGGCTTGTCTTTGATCTTAGGCCAACTATTCATCACTTAAAAAGCTAAAGAAAAAAGAGATCTCTCCTGCCATTTATTAGACAAACACAAGACTTCTGTGGATAGAAAGAGAAAGGGAGGAGAGACAAAAATAGACACAGCAAAAGTGTGAAAGCTCAGAAGGCAAAGAAGGGGAAGAAGGAAGAAATGGGAGGAGAAATGCAGGAAAGGGGACAGAAAATTGAAAGAGGAGGAAAAGAAGTTGGCAAATTTAATACTCTTTCACATCAGCTTAAAAATAAAAGCAATAGGTACTCCTGGACAAAGGCAGATATGAGAATTTTGGATTCAATAAGCAAAGAGTTGAGCCCCGACCCTGCCCAACACAGACCTGTCCTTTGAAGTGACAAATATATCTAAATCAAACAGAGTAAGTCCACATTGCTTAGAACTTGATTATTCCTATGTTCTTCAAGCTCTAATCCTTTGGATGTAACCCATGTTTTGCTCTCTGGAAGTGTTTGGGATCTTCACTTTTATCAGTGCTCAGAAAGCTCACAGTGACATGCCCTAGATGGATCCCTTTTCCTGTCAATTATATAGTTTTACAGTCTTCATTTTTGGGAAAACTTTGAGTCATTACTCTCATAATGTTCTACATCCTGTCTATGCATCTGCTTGCATCTCTCTGTCTAATCTGATTTTTATACCTCTAAGTTTGTATTTTAGGTCATGGTCCTGGGGGCGTGAACCCAGGGCCTGGCTGTTGTCTCTGAGTGTTTTTGCTCAAGGTGCAAACACTGTCTCATGAGCTACTGTTCCATTGCCAGCTTTTCTGGTAGTTAGTTGGAGATAAGCATCTCATAGACTTTCCTGCTTAGGCTGGCCTTCAAAGGCAATCTTCAGATCTCAGCTTCCTGAGTAGCTAGGATTATGAGTCACCAGTGTCTGGCTATTTTTTTTATGTCTACTTTAAAACCTCATCTTGTATCAAAAAAGATTCTGACAGCATCATTATAATGTCTAAGGAAGATTTTTTGTTCTTTAAAACAGCAGCATAACCACAAATGAGGAAACAGACATTGGGAGGTTAGGTAATCTGCCCAGCATCACACAGCGAGGAAGTGATAGGACAGGACATAGTCCTCATCCTCCCCCCTGGCTGCAGAGCCCAAGGCTCTATCCACCAGAGCACAGTGTATAATGCCTCACAGGGTAGTTCTGGTATTTCTTGAGGTCACTAATCTATCTACCTATCTAACCTGTCAACAACTATGTGTGCGCCTATCCACATATATACTTAAAGGTTTTTCAGTTCACCAAAGGGTGTTTTGTCAGAGTTCCCTTATTTACTTTGTCTTTCACTTCAGGCACTTTTCTCAAATGTCTAGCATTCTTTAGTGTGCTTTCTTGTTTAAGGTGAGATCTTATAAAACTGGCTGGAAGCAGCTCCGATCTATACAGCCTGTGGATGGTTGGATGTCCCATGGTATGTTTCATTGGTGCTTTGTTCTCCTGTGCCAGTCTCTTCATGGGCTGATCCTTCAGGGTAAGAACTGGCAGCATAGATCTGGCTCCTGGTCTGCAAAAGGGTGCTTGGCTATTGAAGCTGGCCATTCTTGCACAATTCTGTCTTCATTTTTGCCCTCAACTCTACCTAAGAACCCTCCAGGAACAATTGAAGGGTAGGGCAAAGTGAATGAGATAAGATGGGTAATCTTGTCATTTGTTTGTTTCTTATCCATTCCCTAAATCCATTTAAAGACTTACTTATTCCCCATCTACTCCATACCTCATCCCTCCAATTCCTCAAGATTCCCTAAAGTTGAGCAACATGGATGATTCTGCTGCTTGTAATAGGTATATTGTCTTTTCTCCCAAAAGCTATTCATATTTTGTTATGCTTAGTTAGGCCAAGTCCATTTTGAATCAGTCCTTTCTGAAGTTCAAAAATGCTGTAATTTCTTATATGTACCACCATTATCTCTTCTCTCTGTCACTGCAAAAAGTGTACTATATAAATACAAATGCCTGGATTATCCTGAAGTTTTGACTTCATTCATTTGGTATACAGACCAGGTACTGCAATTAAAACAAATCTCTGCAGCTATTTCTAATGTTTAGTCAGGGTTAAACTAAGGTTAAAAACCACTGTTTATGTTCTTCTCAATTTCTTCCTCCTTCCATCACCTTCCTTCTTAAAATTTGGGAGACAAGCACTCCATTACTGAGCTATATCCCCAGCCCCTCTTTTCATTTCATTCTTTGCACTTTAACAGGACTTCCTCAGAGAGTGGAGACAAACAAGTGATTCTGTCTACCATGTTTACCTGGCAGTGATTTATTTCACTGTCACAATGAGAGGAAGAAGACACTTACTCTGAGTTCGTCCCTATATAGCACAGGCTGAACTCCTGACATCTAGTTTACGTGTCTCTTCTGCTAGTTTGTGGGACCCTGAAAGACAGGTACAAGTCCTTCACATATTGCTTGGCACAAATATGTTCATTTAAAGGATGAAAAAGATACCATATACAGCCCTTTTTCTTAATATTGCCCAACCCCATACTTCTGAAATTAACTTTTCATAACCATATGTTCCATGCACTTAAGTTCAAAAGCAATTCTTCGTGGACTTCATTCTATAAATCTCTGCATCTACACTCCCATTGAGTGCACAGGGTAGTTTTGTTTTTCTCCAGAGTAGATGGGGCATGTGACTGTTGCTATTTTTCTAGTAAGTGTCGGACTCAATACCAGCTCAATGATTAATAAGGACCCTCTCCATTACAGAATTAGAGCCTCAAGAACCTCTTGAGGTTTATTGGTCTTGTTTCACATTCTGCCAATGTTACTTATCACAAAATGCTCAAAGAAGTATTTGTTGCTTTTAAAGTAAATACTCATTGAGCTCTTACCATGTGCAAGGCACTATTCTAAGTGCTTTAAAAACATTTACTCACTAGAAAATCCACAAATTAATTACAGTGTCATAAAGAAAGAGTTAGTTCTCCAAGATGCTGGTCAGTAAAGAAAGACTATGTGCCAGCAGCAGTTCCTCTGCAGGGACTGTGGCTGGCTGGCTCTTGAATCTCAGTAACCCAAACCAGTTCCTTCATAGCAAAACAAATGACTCATTCCTAAATTCTAGAACTATAGCATTGAACACATAAGCAAGAATCTCTTCCTACCTCTATGAAATGTTTATCCACTAGAGTAAATAGCACAATTTTTGTGGAGCTTGATGGTACACAACTGTAATACCTGCTTCTCAGGAGATGGAGGTAGGAAGATTGTGAATTTGAAGCTGTGAAAAGTTATCAAGACCCTATCTTATGTGGTTCAAGTGATAGGACATTTGGCTAGCCCGAGTGATAACATACCTTTTAAAAGTAATATTTTAGATGGTTTGATTGCCATAGAGAAAGATAAAGTAGGCAAAGAAGATGATGAAGGGTAGGGAAATGATGAAAGGTAAGAGTGCTTTGTAATTTCATAAACATGAAAGTCTTAGCAGGTCTCTTTGAGAGGGCAATAGTTGAGTAAATACTTGCAGGAGATGAGGAAGTCATGGTGAACTCCAGGGAGAGAACATCCAGGCCCCAGAAAGCGTTGATGCTAGAACCCTGAGACAGTAACCAGCAAACCATGGAAAAAGCACAGTGCAGAGGACAGTGTTGCTGAGTCAGATGCAACATCTTCCATGAGCAACATATATTTGAGAGAGAACAGGGGTTGGGGAATCTCACATGGGACTGCTGAGATTTGGTTGTTGTTTGTTTCTTTGTTTTGCGCAGGTACTGGGCCAGGAACTCAGGGACTCATGGTCTTCCTTGCTTTTTCACTAAAGGATGTGTGCTTTACCATTGAGCCAGAGCCCACTTCCAACTTTTTGCTGATTAATTGGAGATAAGTATCACAGACTTCCCTGATCAGGCTGGCAACCCTCAGATCTTAGCTTTCTGAGGAGCTAGTATTACAATGTGAGTCACCAGTGCCTCGCTAGGAATAGGGATTTAATATGAGTAAGAAGTGTTCTAAAAAGATCAGCATAGATTCTGTTCAAGCTAAAAATCCAACAAAGAAGGCAACTGGGAGGCTACTGCAAATAATACAGGATGGCAACAGAGGAGGTGAGAGCAGTCAAATTCCATTAAAAAAAACTGACAGGAGAACCAGCTGAATAGGTTGCATTACAAAAAAGATAATAGAGAAAGACTTCAAGAATTGTCCTAAGCAACTAGAAAATAAGATTATTATTATTTGACATGGGAAAAACTATGGATGGAATAGATTTTTTAGGAAAAGATCCACTAATCAGTTTGGATGTATTAAGTTTGGAGATGTTTATTAGACATTCATTATTGAGATGGGACAAAATGGGGACAAGACTGTAGAGGAGGTGAGTGAGTGAAAAGAGGTGGAGGAGGAAGAGAAGGAGGAGGAGGAAGAGGAGGAGGATTTTTCTGTATGATAACAGGGAACTAACAGTACATCTGTAGGCTGATGGGAATATTCTAGCAGTAGAGAGGGAAACACAGATAACACCAGATATTTACTTAAGATATATCCTTAAAGGAGAGAGAATGTGTTATAGTAAACAGTACACCCCTACATTCATAGGTAGAAACCCTAACTCATTTCCATTGTCTAATCCACCAATTAATGTATTTTGTGATGGTCCTCTGGGAAGACTAATACAGGATACAATCCCGAGTTCCAGGGGTAGGAGATGGCTTTGGCTAGGAGTGCAGGCTAATGATTCCCAGAACAGTGGTGAAAGGTTCAGATTGCTTCCACTTTTCCATGAGAGGAATGGTACATCATCTGGGCTTGAGAACTGTATACAGACTGTGGAGAAATATACAGTGAGATACAAGATGAA